ATATCTATACAATGGAATATTATTCAGCAAGAGGGGTACAAATGTCTAACTATTATATTGTTTTGTACTCCTGAAACTAATAATAATAATTTTTTAAAAAACACATAGTAAAAAAAAGGAAATAAAGTAGTGCTATACAACATGGATGAACCTTGAAACATTATACAAAATGAAAGAAGCTAATTATAATGAACCACATATTATATGACTCCATTTATATGAAATGTCCAGGAAAGACAAATCCATTGGGACAGAAAGTAGATCAGTGGTTGCCTAGGGCTTGGAATATTGAGGAGAAATGAAAAGCTAATGGGTTTCTTTTCTTTTTTTTTTTTTTTTTAAAGTTCTCTCTCTAATTTTCTCTGTTTTTTTTTTTTTTTAAATTGGGGAATTGGGGGAGGGGAACAGCGCTGGAGAATCGGGGGAAGGGGAACCAACAAGTTGCTGTTGTTTTTTTTGTTTGTTTTTGTTTTTTTTGTTCTTCAGTCTAGTTGTGGAGGATGTTGCGTCACTGGCCCAATTTGGCACCATCATTGTGCTCTTCCCAGGCGAGGCAGATCAGTCGCCGGCTTCTGGACGGCCGCTCACCGCAGCTGCTGGCCACTCACCGCAGCTGCTGGCTGCTCACGCTGGCTGGCTGCTAGCTACACATGGTAGCTTATGGCAGCCCACTGCAGCACGGGACTGCAGCCTACGCTGTCCTGGGCGACCCACAGCAGCCCAGCCCCAGATCAAGCTGTTGTTCAGCATCTCAGCTGTAGAGGTTAGTGTCACTGGCCCTCATATGTGGGATCTGAACCAGGGCCCTCCGGCATCCCAAGCCAGTTCTCAACCAATGCGCCACTCAGTCGGCCCCGCTAATGGGTTTCTTTTGGAGTGATAAAAATGTTCTGAATTTAGTAGAGGTGATAGTTGCAAACTCTGTGAATATACTGAAAACCATTCAATTGTATACTATAATTGGATAAATTGTGTAGCATATGAATTTTATCTCAGTAAAGCTGGTTGTTGTTTTTTTTAAGTTTTCACAGTAGGATTTAATTTGTAGGAAGAATTAGAAAGTAGATATACTGAAGGCTTAGAAAGGAGAAGTACAGGGTTACCAAAAGTGTTTCGTTCAGATGGAAGTCAGATTGATTTTCTACGCTTAACATATTAGTTATAAAAGAAAAGATGGGAATGCATACATCATATGTAAATCAAAGACAATGCGAGGCAATATGATTCAATACATTAGGAGTTCACCTACCCAGGCTGATAACTATTGACCTCACCATTTCAAATTCCTTAGGTCAATTCAGAACATCTTATTCTAGATATACTCTACTGGGTTTCTAGGCATACCAAAAACAGAAAAAGCAAACAGAATAAGGCTGTTGACATTACATTATTATTGGCTATAATTGTGGTTAACTAAAAATCATCCTGTGTCATTATGAATTATAAGCACAAACTAGTATTAACATTGTTTCTATCAAACATGTAACAAAGGAACTCCAAGAATTACCCACAACTATATTTCTCTGTCAAAGAAGTACCATGAACACTGCTTATATCCAATATGGTTTTGTTTGAAGACTATAAACAAGCATGAGTAAACAGATCAACAAGTCAGTTCCTCACCTTTCCTTTGAAATGAATACTTCAATAGCCACTTCAAACGATCAGGGCACAGACAAGTTGGATGTTTACTTGGAGTCATCAATTTCACGCTGGTTCACTATAGACCATTGGTAAGGAAAGGGGATATATACCTTAAAAATAAGGACCATACATATGATGGTTTGGCAAGAGAAAGAAAGCCTGATTTCTCTATTTTAAAATATTTTAAAATAAATTTCAGGGTGGGATATATACTTGTTAGCTATCGTCCACAGTGCTAATTTTATTTATAAAAATCTCCTAAATGCCTCCAATGATAATAAGCATAGATGACAGGCAATTTGGGCAGGAGGAGCTTAAAGGTAATAGGCTTGGTCACAACCATTGACCTTTTTCAAGTCAAAGCTCTAGAAAGGGTCCCAGCACTCCATACCCGTGGATTATAAATCCAAGGAGAATGGGGAAGAAAGATCAATCCTGAGGAGTTAGATCCAAAGCATTTATTGAAAATGGTAATTCCAAATCCTTTTATCTTTGATTTCACACTGTTCACAACTTAAAGTGGTTTGTGCCATATGTTACTGAAGGGCAATATAAATTACCTGACTCTCTTTCAAGATCTACAGCATATCTGAAGATATCCCAAGATTTTGCATAAAGAAGGCTGACAAAACACTAGTTTACACAAACCCACCAAAAGGCATTATTTGAATATATACAATTGAGTTCATTTTCAACACAGCAATTAATATTCCCTATGATTGGATTATAGTTATTCCAAGTTGTTGGGGATTTTTCCTAATACAGGGCACAAAAAGAGCTGTAAGATGTCAATAGTACAAAAAAATATGAGGGGGAAGAGAGTTTACCACCCCCAAAATATGCCTTTTGGGATATTAATTATTTTAAGCTGGTTATTTTTAAGGAACAAAAGACTCAGGAGAACCTTTGACTCCCCCTGTTATCTACCTAAAGGAATTCAGATTTCAAAACCTGCACCAGGAAGAGCATCACCTTTACCATAACATGAATGAAGTGTGGCACACAGGAAGGAACCTAGCAGTCTGTTTGTTAGAATAACCTCAGAGTTCCATTGTTTCTGGGTGATCTGGCAAGAATTTGTTTACCAAATGTTTGCTCCTTCTCATCTATCTGTGAATTGCCTACCTTCCCTTTAATGTCCAAACCACCTTACCCCCTTTCTCCTTAGCTAAAGATGGCATATAGGCCCCAATTTCCCAATCTGTCCTCAGGTCCTACATTCTTACAGAACTCCTGTATGTACACAAGCAATAAATTTGGTTATTTACTCCTAATAATCCGTCTCATGTCAATTTGATTATAGATCAGCCAGAATGACTATGATGGAAAAGAGGGGAAATTTCACCCTCAGAGAATTATTTTCACATAATAGTGGGTCTCTGGAAATCCCAATGAAAAATTCTATTTAGAGAATATAGGAAGTATATCTGAATTTGTTTAAAGGGAAAAAATAACCAAAACTCATTCATCTGTGTTTTGGGACAGGGCAAACAATTAAATTAAATCAGAGATATATGCTATTCTAGATACCATCCTCCATTTACTTTTTGGCCTTACAGATTCTTCCATGATAAATCTTTTCATTCCTAATATGTGCTTTTCCTCTGTTTTTGGGTTTCATAAGATTATGCTTCCCAAGTTTACTTGCCTTACAACTGACTGCACATGACTTTAGAACTTAAGCTCTGAGCCTCAACTGTCATTACCAGATATGTTTGTATGGGTCAAATCCTCAGAGAACAATGAATCAATAATACCAGTAAGTAAAAGGTTCACAGGACAATGTTATTTAGCTAAGCTTTTAAGGAAGCCAGAAATGCCTTTCACTTTTGCACAAGTTCTCTGCCTTTTGATTTCTAGGAAATTAACCATATTTATACTTTTTCTGAAAATGAAAAGGAGCAATGGAATTCTCTTTTAGGAGTAATGAGAAAACCTACAGAAATAAAAATTCAGGCACTTCTACTTGCCTCCTCAATAATCTAAGTAAATGTGACAATACTGGAACTTAACTCCCAATAATCCACAATGCACTGTGCCTGGTACCTAGCAGGTGTTCAGTATTTGTTGTTTGTTAAATGAATATTGAAAGTATTTCAAACACAAGCTTTTGCTTTGTTAATGTGCCTCTAATGTTCCACTCATAAAAACACATCTTCACACACACACACACACACACACACACACACACACACACAATCTAGATATAGCCACATTGATGTCTACTCTTGAAAATGCCCTCATGACAAAAAGTGGAAGATAAATATGATAGAATGGAACAAGATGGTGACTGTTAGAGAAATTATGAAAGGAAATTCCAAACACTTAAAATTCTTCCATTGTCTTTTTAATTTCAGTTACCTTGATTTCCATGGAAATTCACAGGCATCTACAAAAAAAGTAATCTATTTCTACACTGAAACTTTAAGATTGCTCTTGGCCATAAAATCACACATAATCACAAACAATCGTTTTACATCCCTATACATGCCACATCAGAGAATTTACATTTGAAGGGAAGCCACATATTGCCAAGTAATATGCAACATGTTCAACAAACCTCAACAGAAATGAATACTGATTGTATCATCTATCACTTAAAGAGTAGCTATCAGAAGTACTGGTAATTCTCACACTAGTGGACAAACGTTTTTTTACTAACAGCTCATTTCAATTCAGTGATCTTTTTTCTTCCCTGAACAAGAATACCTAAAGATGTTGTGTGTGGTGTTTGTGTTTTTTATCCTGTTTTTATTCTGTGCTTCAAACAAAACGTAGGTAGAGAAGTTAACTGGTATTTGTTTTGTGTGGGGGTTAAAAAACATTTGAAGGCAACGCAGTTTAACTCCACAGGCTTGTTTACCAGCAGGCTGATGTTCCCTTGAAGCAAGCCATAAAACGCGCAAAATAAGGCTCTTTCAAAATAATTTTACAGATAGGGAATAGATGGGAGAGGAAAACACATCAGTCATCAGCAATAAAACAGAAGCTTTGTTCCTCTGTTTGTAAACAAGAGCCGGAGCCGGCGCTCCACCCTGGCACCCGGGAGGTAAGGAATGACGGGCACAACTCTGCGCTCATCCCGAAGCGTTCCGCAAGGGCCGCCTGGGGAGGCTGACCTCCACCTGGACCAGGCACCGTCCTCTGGCCGGGCCAAAAACCTACCGCAACTCTTCTGCTTCCAACGTAGGGCTGGAGTCGATCGTCCCTCCTTAACTTCCCTGCAGTTACCTCGGCATTCTTAAACCTCCTTCAAGTACCTGCACTTTGCCATATAGGGCCTCGATGGGAGCCTGTGCCCTCGGAGAAGCCTCCACCCGCCCGCCCCGCAGGAGGCGCCCCCGCGGACGGCTTACCGAGCAGCGAGCCTATGAAGATGACGACCTGCACGGTGGTGGTGAACTGGCGGTACAGCTGCGCCTCGCCGAACTCGCCGAGTGCGCTGCGGTTGGCGCCCGCCGCCTCCGCGCCCGACGCGTTGCGCGGCTCGCTGGAGTTTCGGGAAATCCAGCTACCGTTATGCCCCATGGCGAGGCTGGGGCCCCGGCTCTGCTGGTCGCCAGCCCTTCCGCCTGCCTCCGAGCCCCACGCCAGTCTCTCCTGCCCCGGGCGCGGGGGGACGCGCGGGTGCCTGGTGGGAGTCCTGGAGAACCAGGGGCAGCCGCGGGTCCCCTCACGTCTCCACATCTCCAGCCCCGGCGCCTGGGAGGCGGGGAGAGAGGGGGGCGAGGCTGCGCCCCATGCCCGTACCCTCCTGGGTCCCCGTCAGCAGCCACATGAAGGCGGCACGATCAGAGCCCGCTGAGCATCGTCCGTCCCTCCTCCCGAGTGGTCAGCGCAGCCAAGCCCACTCAGCGGAGATGGAAGCACTGAAGGAAGCATTTGATGGTCAAGAAGGGCGCTCTCCGCTCGTGCCGCCCCCTGCAACCTCTGCTCCTTCCACCCCCCGAGGGCCGGGGTATCCTTCGCGAGTCCCCCCGGCTGACGGGCTCAGCCCCTCTCCTTAGAGGGAAGAGGGCATTTGGTTGAAGCCGTTTTTCAATCCTGCAGGCTTCGAGGCTAGATGGATATGGCAAACCTGTGAAATGTCCAAGCCAAGTGGTCGGAGCCCCGAGGGGAGCCCCGACTCTCCGACGGCGCCCATGGCCTAGGCAGAATGCCCTGAATCTCCCCCAACAGCCTCGCCCTCAGCACCTGGTTGTCCCCCGGGACACCCGCGCGGTCTCCTCCGGTCCAGCCCCTTACTGGGGGCTCCGACCTCCCGCCTCGGCGCCGGCTGCAGGGACCCCGTCCCGCATCCCCTTTGCCTCTGCACGGCCTAGCGTCCCGTTTCCGACCCCGCTCCGGCCCTCGGCTGCTGAGAGGAGCCTCGCGGCCGCACGGGCACTAGACAGGACGCCCCTACAGGGGCAGGGGCAAGGTCCGCGCGGCCGCCGGACTCCCGGAGCGCGCCTGGGGCTGCTAGGGGCGCGCGGCCCGCGGGGGTGGTCACGTGACGTGCCTGGCCCCGCCCCACACGCCGAGGCGGCCGCGGGGACCGACGCCATCTTGGCCCTGTTGAGCGTGATTGCCCGGGTCCGGAGCGTGGGAGGTGCGGGGTATCCTTGTCTGGCCGCGGTGGCCCAACGGGCGGCTCCTTCCAGGCTTCACTTCCTTTCCTGCTGTCCTCACGGTCCCCTCCCTCGTCAGCAGGGGCTGCCTGAGGCTTATAGTGTACAGGACGCTGTCACCTTGGCTGGGAGCCCAGTCTCCCCTCAGTCAAGCCTTGGGTGTAGCTGAAGCATTTAAGAAAGATGAAATTTAGGAATGCAATCCTGGGCTCTTTTATTGAGACTCACGTATAAAAGGTACACGATAGAACCCAGGTCTGATGGATTCCTGGAATGAGGAATTGGGAGGGAGCCAACTTCCTGCGGGCTGATGCAAAAGAATGGAAGCTAAAGACGGTAAGAGAAGTTGAATGGGAAAAGGAATGTGTACGAGCATCTAGAGAAAAGGATCTGGGGAAGAGAAAAGGAGAAATGAGACAGGAAAACACAGCTAAAGATTTGCTTGTTTTGACTTAATGGAAACTGGCTTTTTAATAAGGGAAGGACGTGGTTGAGGGCTCTGACATATTGACTGATAGGACTAGGTCCCAGGACTAACATTAACCCTTTTGCTGCGATGGTCGGATATATCTGAATGAATATATCCGAAATTTTTATACATAAAACTAACATTTATATACAAAGCAGCTCAAATCGTTACTATTAGATGCATAAAATAGTCAAAATATCAACTTTTTGGTTTTTGTGGATTTCTGACACATTTTGAAAAAAACCTTGAAATCAATTAACAGCAAGAGTTAAGAGTTGATTAAAATTAGTTATTTCTTGGTTTGCCTCAAGGCTGATTATACTACAATATGACTACTTCACTTTCACTGGTGACCCTTATTACTGGTCTTGAAAGGGCAAAAAACCATGTCTTGTACGTCTTTGGAGTCTCAAAATACCTATACATAATAACCCTCCAGGTAAGCAGTTATTTTAAACATTTTGGAGGCCAAAAAAGAGGAGAGGGATAATTACTTATTAATTGTATTTTCAAAAAAAAAAGTTAAAATTTGTTCTGGGAGTCCTAACATATATTCCAAGATGGAAACCCTTACACTATAATCATTACAAAACGAAAAGGATAATAATTCACCAACATCCAGCACATTCCTTTAGGAAGGGTTGGGGAAGAATGTGTATAAATGAGTTGTTTAGTAACTAACAGCTGTAAAAACACCCCTTTTACCCACCTTCATCGGCTACCCCCTATTCAAAACTGCTAAGAAGGATTGAGATACAGGTGTAGGAAAGTGTCAAGTTTGCAGGTGTAAAGAGTGTTGAATAAAGCAAGAAACTTCTCATTTTTTTTATTCTGAAAAAATACATTCTCTACAGCCCCTAAGTTGGTGTTAGAGTATAGGGTTAGTTGAATCAAGAAGTAGCCTGATCAGCTGAGGTCACCATGATTCTCAGACTTGAAGGATTGCTTGTGAAAATATAGAACTGAGGACAGGAATAGAGTGGCATGATTTCTATGGCTATGTGCTATATGAATTTTTCACTGGCTACAAAAGAATTTAAGATTCATCTAAGAAATCAGACATGATTTAAATATATGTTAAGTGTCTATAGTAGTGTTATTTATACTTATCACAAAGTTAGTGGCCTAAAAAAGCAACAATCCTTTTTTCACTCACAGGTACGCAATTTGGGCAAGGCTCGTTCGGACAGCTTGTCTCTGTGCCACATGACATCAGCTGGAGGAGCTGAAAAGTTGAGGATCTGGGATCAGCGAGTGGCATGTTGGTTAAGAGCTGGCTTGGGACGCCAGAGGGCCCCAGTTCGGACCCCACATATGAGGGCCAGCGACACTGCCCTCTACAGCTAAGATGCTGAACAACAGCTCAACCTGGAGCTGGGCTGCCGTGAGTCCC